GATTAGCCAGCCGGTCTTGTGTAACAAATCCATTTCAATGAGAAGTAAACTGCGGTAAATGATTAACATAATCTTCTTTACTAATGACTAGGGGTTTTTAATTTAATGAGTCACTTCTGAAAGTCTGAGGGGAAAACAGGGACACTTTTTTTTCCTTTTTTTTTTTTTTTTTTTTAAATACTCACAGTGCAATCGTTGGTGTGTTGAAGCCCGGTGGTGTTTCTCAAAGCAGCCGTATCAAACCTGCGGTGTGTGTGCTTGCTCAGATACGTACAGCTCACTTCCAAAAGGAAATGCGTTGCATGGGTTTTATGAAATTGCTATTACTGTCATGATTAATGATTTTGTTATCCAAGCAGTGAAACCACAAGGCTTCGCGACCGCTGTAGCAATCGCAGAGCTCTAGTACGTGCAGCACAAATTTCTCTAATTGAGCATTTGAGGGCATGTTGAAACAGAGTTTCTTGCTGGACTCCCTGTTCCAACAACTTGAGTTTTGGGTTCATTTCTCTTATGTGGCTACTGGGCATGTTTTCAGTCTGTTCCCCTCAAAACCAAATGCTGGACCTGGTTTGGTTTCAACAGGCTTTTAGAGGAAGACAGTGTTTCTCTGACAGACCGGTGGCTCAATAGGTCTGGGACATGTTTTTGCACTGGTGAAATAGCCTGGCTCTGGAGACCACGTCCTTTCTAGATGTTTTCCTGTAGGCAAGTGCGTTGTATTTGGGTGACCTGCAACAAACCTCTCGTGTCTGCCCCCTCTGCCAGCCTCCCCAAAATTTTGACTGCTATGCTGGTGGTAAAAAATCCCAGCCGAGACCCAGACTTGTGGTGGGGGACAGAAGTTGTTCCCTGCCTCCATCACTGACAAAGTCTGGCCATCATTTCTTCGTAGTGACATCTGGCTGAAGATGAGGGTGCCTTTTCTTGGAGAATGTGCTGGCTTTCACCAGTCACCCAAGTCCAGGGTCAGTCCCAGTGGAGTGGTACTGAGAGAACAGTACGCTTTTGAAGGCCTGAGCATCATCGTGTCTTTGGTCACTTGGTCACTTACTTTCTTCTGAGGGGTTTCCATATGGCTTCACATTTTAACTGTGGGCTCTGTTGGAAGTATCTCCTTCTGTTTGAATATTTAAGCGTGTTCTGGTGAATGCTTTGCTTCTTCTCTTCTGAAGGATACCAGAAGAATCATCTCTTCCTACTTATGTTCCCATGGGACTCATGATTCAATACACTTCTTCTCTTCCTATCTTCGTGGTCTCTTCCATCATCTCTATTCCAGGCTGGAGAGACCCAAGCTATTGAGTTAGCTGTTGTTAAGAAGCTGTCCCGTGTCCTCGATTGTCCTGCCCATAGCTTTGTGAGCTTGCCATGGTGAAAATACCCTTAGGGGGAGGAGGTTCAGAACCGCAGACAGATTGGGGAAGCACAGCAGATATGTGCGAGGCCTTGATGATTGTCTTTGTGGCTGCTTCTTTGGTTGTTTTTTTTCAATCCATTGCTGAGCCACCAGGCTGGCACTGTTACAGGGCTCTCTGTTTTAACCCCAAGACCTCATTCCTGAGCAGGGATAGCTGGCTCCCAGTGCATCATTTTACCTGTCAGATCAAGGTGTTTCAGTCACTTTGCACTTAAGTGGTAATTTTTTTAAAATTCTTTTTTACCATCCATCTCTCAGAATTACAAGATTCTTAAGCGAGTTTTCAGGGTCAGCTTTCATTTTTACTCCCTTGAATAACTTAAGTTTCATCAGAAAACTGTGTCATCTTGTCATTCACCTTTCTCTTCAGATCATTGATGACCAGCACAAGCGAGGAGACTGTGGGGTTCATTGGTGACCTTCTGCTTGGGAGGAGGGTATTCTCTACCTTTTTTTCCCCCACCCCCCCAATCTTCAAACCATTCATTCCTCCATTGTCAAGAGCCTTGGAGATATGGTTTAACGATGGTGTTGCTTTTTGTTTTTCTTTTTGTTTGTTGTGTGGGTGTTTATCTTTGTCCAAATTAGGTTGACGGTTGGACAAGATGATCTTTAAGGTCCCTTCCAACCTAGAAGATTCTGTGATTCTCTCTCTTCTCCTCCAGAAGTTTGAAGCTTTGATGGGGGACCTTGATGGAAGGCAACGGTGCTTGTCCCTGTCAGTGGTCAGCAAGGCAACCTTGCAGACACCGTGTTTGTCGACCAACTGCCTTCAGCATCACCGGCCAGGAGGCAGTGTGAACTTTTGTTTTTACAGATAATTGAGCGGAGACGTAGTCTTGGATAGCTTGCTCTCTCCCTTTCTGGGCGCTTAGAGTGTGTGTTTGTCTTGGCAAACTGCCCCTCTAATCTGAGGATGTTGAAGGTGGAAATGCAGCAATTTTTAATAAGGTGAAGGCAGGGGCCGGGGCCGCAGCCTCCGTGCTGGGCCACAAACAGGTTTTGTAGCCATGTCAACACAGAGGCAGAGGAGAGGCTCTGTTGCCCTGCCAGGTCTGGAGGAGAACAAGGTGTGGAGGAAAGCAAAGAGCAGATAAGAATCGGGCAAGATAAAAATCACTACAGCCTCTTTTCCAATGGCCTGTTACAGAAATACTTGCTTTTCCCCGAGAGGCAGCAAATTGCAGGCAGCTCGGAGGGCTGGTTATAGCTCCCAGCTGCCCTGCTGAGATTATCTAGCGGTTATATCCAGTTTGGGATTTTTATTTTCATCTAGGGGGTTGCAGGCCAGTGTGTGCAACCTCCTCCAGTTGGGTAGTTTTCCCAGGCTTCGTTATTTTGACCCTGAGCACCCACGATGTTTTCAGAGGATATCCCCAAAGGGCTGGTCCCAGCAGGGCTCGGCTGCGGTTCCGGTGAAGGTTTAAAGCCCTGCCTCCTTTTTCGGTTCACACCAGTCAAAGTTTAACTTGGAGAGTACTTGGCTGAGGCTGCCAGGACTGTGGGGTGTGTGCCTTTTTTGTTGTTGTTCCTGAGGAGCTTAAATTACCACTCGGGCATCCGGGGCCGCACCACGTTGCAAAAAGGTGCTCCTGTGAGGCGGCTGTTTTAACTAAATCCTAACTCTTCTCTGGTTTCCCAAATAGGTTGGAAGCTCAGCGCTCTCGCAAAGTACTGCCTTGTAGAAGCTGCTAGTTTTCTTTTGAAACGTCCCCAGAACGTGCTAGATATTCTAGGAGGCACAAGAATTAGCTTTGAAGGGTTTAAACCCCAGATTTGAAGCGCCTTTGTCTAATAAGTTATAAAGGCTAGGCTGACAAAACCACTTTTTAAAAAGAGCCTGAATATCGGTGCCAGTTACATTTTAGAGGTGGTGTTAACTATCTTTAAGAGTTGTTCTGCTTCTAGTACTTGTGTTAAAAAAAAAAAAAACAAACCAAAACCAACAAAAAACTCAACAAAACCCCCAACCAAAAACACGTGCATTAAAAGTCTGCTCCTCGTGGGGTGGCTCAGCCATTCATTCAAAACTCATCCTTGCCTGTTGTACCTCTCAGGTAAACCCAGCCTGGCTTGACATCAGACTGCAAACCAGGTCTGTGTATTTTCTTTTCAATAAAGTAAGTTGGTGGCTCAGTCCTTTTAACCGGTTAAAGAGAATCAACATCTGTTTTGTGGTGTAATGCTTGAAGGTGTGCTCACCTTTGGACAGAGTCTTTGCAGAGCGTTGTTTTCAGAATAAACAAATACCCACAATGAACCTTCTTGTATTCTTGGGGTAAGAGACGTGTCTAGTACGGATTCAGTGGAAAATAATATTTAGAGAGTGCATTCTTGACAAGGAGAGAAGGTTTTTCAGGTAAAACCAGTCTTCCCCCGCTACCGATACAACTTTTCTCCGCTTTTGAGGTTGTGTCTTTTAGCTAATACTGTTGTGGCAAATGGAAGCCTTTCCCTTGGACTCATCGTAGCCGCAGCACAGCTCGTTAGTTGAAGGGCGATGGGAGGTTTTTTTCTCAGTTCAAAGCGCCAAAATTTTAGGCAAGATGCAACGTCACAGCTCTTCTGATCATTGTGCACGGAGGCTCTTTTTTTCCTGCTCCTCATCTCTTAGTGCATTTAACAGCCATCCTCTTGATATTCGTGGTAACATGAAAAAGCCCAACCAATCTATGAAAAGAATTAATGGGCAAAATCCTGAATGTCTAGGTGCTGTATGGAAAGTATTTTAACCAAGGAAGGGCTATGGAGAGAGAATGGCTAAGACTGGTACCCCACTGTGTATTTCTCCAGGAGGAGAAATACGTGTATTAAGAAGCTGCAGGTATTTGGCAACAGCGTGTTATTGCGTGATATTTCACCCTTTCCTGATCGTTGTGTAATTACGTACCTAATTAACCTAAAGAAAGTGCTCGCCGTGAGTCAGGAACGTATAAAAACTCAAGTAACATTCATTGCACTTTAGAGTTTAGTGACAAAACGAGGGGAAAAAAAAAAACCCAAGGTTTTTAAAGGAAAGCTGATTATTCAAGTAGCCTGTGATGAACTGGAATTTGGTGAGTGTTTGGAGAAAAATGTGTAAAGGAGTTTTTGGCTTCATGGGACACCTGCAGCTCATCAAAAATCGCTGGTATTTTTGTAGCCTGGGTAACTAGTGGGGCACAGCCCGGGCACACAGATGCTCTGTCTGAGTCTGCCCATGGGACTTACACAATTCCATCATTTGACGGAGCTTAACTTTGCTCTTCAGAAGTAGCTCCTGGCATGAAAGCTCATCGCACACAAAGCCCAGTATAACAAATAACACACCAAGCAAAGACGAGTGGTGGTGGTGGTGAAAATGTCACAGGTTAGGCTATGGCGTATTATTTTTCCATGTGTGTGGCAGCAGCTTTTATGGCCTGGCAACAGATCTGCCTCTTTCAAGTATTTTATGGGAAACTTTATGAAGCTGCCGGCTGTCAGGTGTGGCCGGTGTTGCAGGTGTGCGCGAAGCCAGCGAGCGGCAAAACATCTCTTTTAATACCGCCCTGCAGTAACGGCCGAATGTCTGACGATTTTTTTTCTCCATTTAACACAGAACGCTACAGATAGCTCCTCTAACTCCTCTCAAAAAAGGGAACAGCCCGTGCGAACTCTGGCTTCTCCTGCATCCTGCGAACATCGAAGAATTTGCACTCGTGGACACCTTCACGACCATTATAGCTCTGACCACTACCATCTAGAACAAGTAAGGTTTCTTCCTGGGGTTGCCATAGCTGAGGCTGGTGTTCGGTTTTCCCCCCCTCATCCCTGAAAGACACCCCCCTCCCTTCTTTCCCCTTTCCCTCTCAGTTAGCTTTACATGGCTTCCAATTATTAAAACAAAAGGAGGGGGGTTTACACTGTGATTTAATATGTTACGGTGCACCACATGGACATTGTCTGTGACAATTCTACTCATTCTTAAGCCAAAGGCTGAAACTCCGCGATGGGTCATGGCAAAGGGTGTATAAAGAGGGAGGGAAAGGTGAAACTGGTAAATATTGGCTTTTCACTAAGCAAGGAGACTGATTTGCTGACAGCAAAGTGAGCTTATTTAGCTTTTCTTCTCCATCCCTGCTTCCACAGTCAGTACCACGATCCTACCGGCACGTCAACTTTCCAGACGACGATGAGGAGATCGTGCGCATCAATCCTCGGGAAAAGATTTGGATGACTGGATACGAGGACTATCGCCATGCCCCGGCACGGGGAAAGAACTTTGATCCCGACGACATGGACTCCTACGTACGTTTTGCCAAAAGCGAGGCCTCGAAACACGAATACACTTATCCTTACGTAGACAACTCGGACTTTGACCTGGGTGAAGATATCAAGGGTGCTGTGATAAAGACTCAACCTGTCAAATTCAAGCCCAGGCGGAAGGAAGATGGTGAGAGGTCACGGTGCGTGTACTGCAGGGACATGTTCAACCACGAGGAGAACAAACGGGGTCAATGCCAGGATGCTCCAGACCGCGTCAAGACTTGCATCCATCGAGTGAGCTGTATGTGGTGCGCAGACACTATGCTCTATCACTGTATGTCCGATCCGGAAGGAGACTATACAGATCCTTGCTCGTGTGACACCAGTGATGAAATGTTTTGCCTCCGGTGGATGGCCCTTATCGCCTTGTCTTTCATTGCTCCATGTATGTGCTGTTACTTGCCGCTTCGGGCTTGTTACCACTGTGGGGTCATGTGCAGGTGCTGTGGTGGAAAACACAAAGCTGCTGGATGACTACAGATGCGTTCGAAGTGTTACGTTTTTCCTGTAGTTCAAGGAACACGTTGGTTTTGGAGCATTGAGATCACTCGTTTTGATGCAGCCACTGTGCCCAACAGCATCCAGAAAAACACCAGTTTGGATCACTTTACATACGGTCGTCTGGGGGCTCACACTGCATTGATTTGCTCATCAAGTGTTCTAACTAACTAACCTACAGCATAGACTTTTGTATTATTAATCTGTAATCAAAACAGACTGTCTTGTACATGTTCTTTTTTTTTTCTCTCCAGTTAAAATGAGTTTGAGGAAAAAAAAAAAAACATTATAAAAAAAACGTTTTTTTTATAATGTTTTTTTTTTTTTCCTCAAACTCATTTTAACTGGAGAGAAAAAAAAAAAAACATTATAAAAAAAACGTTTTTTTTATAATGTTTTTTTTTTTTTCCTCAAACTCATTTTAACTGGAGAGAAAAAAAAAAAAACATTATAAAAAAAACGTTTTTTTTATAATGTTTTTTTTTTTTTCCTCAAACTCATTTTAACTGGAGAGAAAAAAAAAAAAACATTATAAAAAAAACGTTTTTTTTATAATGTTTTTTTTTTTTTTTCTCTCCAGTTAAAATGAGTTTGAGGAAAAAAAAAAAAAAACAAAACTGCTTTAAATGGTGGTGGATTGTAGAACATCTCCAGGTTGTGTCCGTCTTGCCTCCCGCGGTACCATCAGCATGTTAGCAAGCTTTGGCATTTCTAGAAACGGGGTGGTGTAGTGAATGACATCTCACTCAGAAGATATTTTAACTCGCCGTCAAGTTATTGTGTGTGTATAGAAGGTGTGCTAGTAACAAACTTGTACCACAACACAGTATTTCTGTCACTGGTTTTCTTAGGGGTTTTTTGTTCTGTTTTCCAAAGCCAAAATAGCCATCTAAGCTGCAGTTTCTCTTCTAGAGTCCATCGTCATTTCCTTCAGCAAACATCTTAAATTATTTCTCTGTTCGTGAAGCTCTGTGAACAGAAAGCAAGGCTCAGTTACCATAGTCACATAGCCATTGAGAATCTGGTAGTTCTCTTCACCTGTAATCATTTCAGACCACTACTTGAAAGGGAAGCTTAAATTTTAGGGTTTTCTTTTTTCCCTAAATAACATTGGAAGAATAAAACTGTGTTTTCAGAGCTCTGCCCAAAAGAAAGGGAACTTCTTCATTAGCCAGCCATGTAATGATCTGTGAATAAAACACTAATGTTCCAGATGAGGAAAATTGTTGTTATGCAAAGAATTACTAACAATGCAATGTCAAAAGCACTATTATGGCAACTCTGGGGAAATGCTGCATTAAGTGGTGGATTATATGGAAATTTGTATCTGTTTGTTTGTTTTCTGTACAATACATGAGCATGAGAACATACGCATCCACGGTAGGAACTACATTTAGCGATCTAAACAGGTATTTTAAAATCAAAAAGCCAGGGTGTCGACCGCCGCTTCCATTTCCTGCCCTGCGGTCCCAATCCTCCAGATTCTTACCCAAATCTCAACGTACCACGCCTGCAGCCGGCGTTTCTGTGACTCTGCGTGGAGGATTAAGCGTGGTGAATCTTTGCAGGAGCCAGACCGAAGCGTCTCCCTGGCTTTCCCCTCCCCAGTTCACCACCCAGATTTATCGAGTGGATGCATAAGGTGCATACAGCAGGATAAGATTACTTTAATATTTTTTTTTCTTAATATTTTTTTTTTTCTAAATGTCATGTTGTCTTGTGTACAAGGCTTGTAATTAGCTTGGAAAAAGAGTATTTTTCTAATATATTACAAGGAATAGCCAAATAATTTTTATTAAAAAAAAAAAATAATGATTTAGCGCAGTGAGCTCTAACTAGCATAGTACAATCTGAATACTTTGAGGCAGCTAGGGATTGGCTTGTCAAAGCTGGCACTGCTGTTCCTGCCATAATTTCTTTCTGCAGTAAATTGCCAGTGGGCGCATGTCCTTTCCCTCCCTCTATTGCACATTGACATCAGTCTTAAAAAAGAGAGGAAATTTTTTTTTAATTTTTTTTTTTTAATTAATTTGCCAAATAAATGTAAAAGGAACGCTTGCCATTCTTTCTTGGTGGAATGTCCCAATGGTTCCTCTGAGAGTTAATCACAGCTTTTTAGTCAACCATGAATTAAGTATGCAATGTGCTTAATACACTATAGAGTTTGGTAGGCTTAATTCGTAGCAGTTGCTGGGGATTTTTTCAGTTGGAAAAAAAAATATAAAAAGAATGATAGTGGAAAAGGGGTGGAGTGTTACACTCTGGGTGATGTGTCTGGGTTTGCTGAATGAAATATAAATATTTTGTGCCTAATAGCAGTTGACAAATCTCTCAATGGTGTCTAGTAAACATCAAGCCAGCCTCGAAAAAAAAAAATAATAAAAGTAATGGAACAACCTTTTCCTTTTATTTCTGTTCTCAAAGTTGTTTCATGCAAACAAACATCTGTAAGATCTTCTCTCTATAAAGCACAACACTACAAAAAGATCTTACAGCTTTTTGTCCGATCTTGAAGTGCCCCTATTTATTTAAGTAAAGTAGACATACTCTAAGCCTTTCTGTATGTCTGGAAATAAAAGTTTCTTTTTAAAAAAAAAAATTCCCTCTTTTTTTTTTTTTTAATTTTTTTTTTTCTTCCCCTCCTCCTTTCTCCCCCTTCTCTTGGGTTTTTGTAATACTTGTAGATTTTGCTGCGTGTGTTATTTGGTTTGTGAAGGCAGTGGTGTAAGGGCACAATGATAGAGATGGGTGTTTTTTTGTAAATATTTCTCCTTAATTTCCACACTGCTGCTGAACAGTGTGTAGCGTTCTCCCAGTCAGCTTTGCAATACTGACATCAATCATTTGAGAGAAATTATTCAGATTTTATTTTTGTATCTGTGGTAACAAAACATTAACCAAATTTTTTTTTTTTTTCTGTTGTGGAAAGTTTTTTGGTTTTTTTTCCAAGCTATTGCTCACGTTAACAAATTAAAGTGCCTGAAGCCTCATCATTATTGTATCTATATACTAAAAGTTAAAACCCTGTTGTATTGATTTTTATAAGCCTTTTTACCTCTGTGTAAAAAAAAAAATATATATACAAGTGTATGATGTACATTTTAGTTCTTAACTTCTTTTTTTATTGTTTCTAATATGTATGATCAGTGTAGCTATTGCTTTAAAATGTACCATGTAAATATAAATACATCATATCAAAAAATGATACTGTTTATTGTTACTGGGCTGACTGGAAAAGGAGGGGAGAACAAAGCGGTGCCAGAGTCACCTCCCCAAGGCCCCGGGGTTTCCGAGGGGAAAAAAAAAAAAGACTTATTTTACGTTTTTGGTGGTGAATGGGGATGGGCCAGTGGGGAGCGTGGGGGCAGGTGTTCTTTAGTTGGCTTTCAGGCATTTTGGATGGTTTTTGAGGGAGGGCAGCCCAGGCCTGGTAGGCCCTGCAGGCCCCGCAGGCCCCAGCAACCATGACAGGGGCTCAGATTTCCCTCCTGCTCTCCCTTCTCCTCCCTCGCCCAGCTTCGGGCTGGAATATAAATACTTTGCGGGAACTTTTCTTTTTTTTATTTTATTTTGTTTCACCCGAGAACAAGGGGAAAGCAGAGAGAAAGGCTGGCGGACGTGGCCGCTTTATGAGGGCCAGATGGACCACGAGCGCTGAGATAAGATGGCGGCGCTGGCACTGCCGTCCCCACTCAGAGGGGTTTAACGTGGAAGATGGAAGAGGAATAACCCAGTTAAAAGGGACAGCGATCGACTGAGGGATCCAGAGGGAAACCGGTGAGTATATCTGAATTTTTACAGTTGGTTCCAATGGGAGCTAGTCAGGCCTGAAAAGCCCGGGTTTATTTTCCTGTAGGTAAGTGAGAACCCAACTAGGCCGTTGCTCCTTTTTCATAGAATCATAGAATGGTTTGGGTTGGAAGGGACTTTAAAGATCACCAAATTCCAACCCCCTGCCCTGGGCAGGGACACCTTCCACCAGACCAGGTTGCTCAAAGGCCAACCTGGCCTTGAACCCCTCCAGAGATGGGGCAGCCACAGTTTTTCTATGTGCTGCTGCTTGTTGCTCTGCTGAATAACAAAGCTGCCTCAAGAGGTGTGTAAAAGGGAAGGGAAAGAGCACACACACCAAAGTGTCCTTCTGGGATGAAAGGTTTGCTTCCTGCAACAGTGGTGGTTTTGTGTCACCTACGTGTGGGGTGACGGGCCAGTTGCATAAAATAGCTCAGTGGCTTAATTTGTTACATCTTTGCTGAGATCCTGAGTCCACATTCACTTTTTATGGGTTTATATTTGTATTCATGCATTTCTAGAAATACTATATGCTTGTATAAACATAGATTTCTGTTTACGTTTATGATACAAGTGTGTATTGGTTATAAATTTTTCTTAAAAAGGACTTTGCAGGCCTCGTGAGAAGCACACGTGCTGTGGGTCAGGCAGCGTGTTCAGGAGGACTCTCCTGGCACACAAAAGCCCTTGGTCTGTGTTGGTGTTTGCTCCCTCCACGGCCAAGCCAAGGGATTCCGATGGCCTGTTGCTTCCAGTTCATCACACTCTTGACTAATTACAGCAGGAAGACCAGCTCTGTTCCCTGGTCATTTGAATTCAGCTTCTCCTGCAGAAGGCCTGGCTAAACCATATTATCTTCTTGCAGACTGCAATGTCCTCTTGCTTTCATCTGTGAATCAAAGGGGTTGCTTATGCCTAGAAACTTCTAAACTGAACCAGTAAATGGTTCGTTTGGACCCTGGCTACGTGGAAAGGGCAAACACCACCAAGATACAAGGCACCATGAACGGCAAACAACCCTCTGCAACCTAGTCAATGCAGAGGTCCTGGGCTTTCTCCTGCTGATGGCTACTGTCAGGATGCAATCAAGGAGACTGAGTTTGGAGAGGACACAGATACTGTAAGCTTGCAACCATATGAAGGAAGGTTGAATATTTTATGGCTTTAAAAAAAAAATTATGTCATTAGTTAATGTAATAAAAATTGCACTTTAGAATAATATTCTTTCACCCAGGCTGAGTTTTAGCTGCTGACAAATGCAGCTTGGCATTTTATAGTAAAGAGACTTGACACCAAATGTGCCTGGGTCAGAATGGCTCTTCCTGGCCTCTCCTTTCGCAGCTGTGGCAGCAGGAGGAGTGGTGGCCCAGTCCACCCCCAGGCCAATCTCCTGGAGAGGCATCCTTGGGTTCAGGCGAATGTTATCGCGGCAGTCCCACCTCTGTGAGCT